CTAAATTTATCAGCATCAACAGTACTTTTACAATCAATGATTACACAAGGACCTTTATTTTGAGTATTTTTAGGCATTATTATATATGATTTAATTAAATAAAGTATGTTTGACTTTTTATTTTGTAGTTTGGATTTTTATTTTGAAAATTTACAAAGTTTTGTCTTTTTTTATATTTTTTTTTTTACTAATACAATAGCAATGAATAAGTTATCTTCTATTTTAGCATTCATCCAAAGATTTAAATTTGTAATGTTTACCCGAAAAGTCTAATTTTAGCATAATAATATTTAAATTCAGAGTTCGCCTGAAAAATCTAGTTTCAGCAATGATCATTGAGCCAATAAAATTTAATTTTTGCGTGATGTCTGGAAGGGAGATCATCACAAAATTTAGCCAATGAAATCAAACTTCCATCATGCTTGCACTTCTGAGCATAACTTTCAAATTTAAAAAAATCTATGAAAAGAAAATTCGAGCCAAATTTTTTTTTAGATTAATAGACTCCCTTTTTAAAGCTTAATTGAATGGTGGTGGGTTTTTTAAAATCCAATCTGTGGATCACATAATATTTCAAAAACTTTAGCTTTTGAGTATAGATGATCCGCACTGTAGAGCATAAAAATAACCTATTAATTAGAAAACTCAGTTTGCATGCTCGCACTACAACAATTGTCAATAATAGTTTAATTTCAAGATGTAAAAAAATTCTATTTTATTTTTATTTGCAAGTGTGTAATTTCTATCGCAAACCCAAGAGTACAATTGTAACATGTTACCGGCGAACTGTTTTCACCATTTTGAATCCTTGGCCTTTGCTGAACATTATTATTTCCCTTCATCAGGTTAATCAGTTGGTCAATTAACCCTTGTAGTGGTTGGTTTACCCCCTGATTCATTTCTGGAATCTTAGGCATGAATTGTTCGGCTGAATATGCCGACAAGGTTCCTCCTCTAGAGTAAGTCATCTCATAAGCCTTAATTCTTTCAATTGGATCCTGGATAGTGTCAGGTAAGAATGGACTTACTGCCATGGACAATTCTGGTTGTAACCTTTCCATGAACATTCTCGTTTTGACTCTATCTGGATAGTTGTTTCCCCTGTGCTCAATTCTCCTGAACAATTCATATATATGTGCTGCGAAAGCATCTACTGTTTCTCCAGGTAATTGTTTACGTTTTTCTAACTATGCTGCCCATCCTTCTTCCATTGCTCTTGTTCTATACCTCCTTTGAAAATTCGGAACAAAGCTTGCTGCTATAGCATTATTATTTGCATTATCATTCCAACGGTCTATGTTTACTCTAACTTGAGTCCACCATGTAGCAGCTCCCGCCTTTAGTCTGGGTACTGCCACAGCTACCTTTCAATCACTAGCTACTCTATTCACTACAAAAGCTTGTTCCATTTCTTTCAACCATGTGATTGGATCCTGGTCTCCTCCATAGTATTCAGGGTACTTAACATTATTTAATTCAATGGGTGTGCTGCTGCTGTATTAAATTTACCGCTTGGGTTATTGCAGCTGCCAATTTTGTAAAGCCTGTGCATCCATTTGATTTGTTTGTTGATAATTAGGTTGATTAATTTGTTGATTTAGGTTAAATAAATCTTCTATTCGTAGAGTGGATTCTTCGTCCGAGTTACTGTCTGAGCCACTATCTGAGTTTGAATCACTAACTATTGTTGAGTTACCACTTTCACTAGGATTTTCTTCTTCTTCTTCAGTTATGGATTCCGGAAAATTTTGAGGTACTTCGTTTAATGCTATTCTAAAGTGGCGAGTCCTTGCTGCTGCAACTTGGTAGTCTTGGTAAAGTGTTAATATATTTCCTGGGTATCCCTATATCTTATACTAACTAATAATGTTAAAGCAAGTTGTTGTAACCGTCCAGAGTCTTCCTCTAATAATAGTTGTTCAAAGGTATTTATAGTATATGAGGTGGAGTCTGTTGCTCGGTGTGTTTCTCTTATCCAAAAGATTAAAAATTGAGCAGAGAAGTTTCGATTGATAGGATGACAAGTTGTACAAGATATGTCACTATGTACTTGTGATATATCCCTTGTGGTTGGGTACCGTTGATGTACTTGATTATGGATCCTTGTATTTTCTTGTATGAGTTGTATTTTTTCTTGATTAGGATCTATTATATTCATTCAATCAATCCTCGTAAGTATAGTACTTTATCAGGAATGCTTTCAAAGGAAACTTCTTCCCGAAAAATAGTTTCTTCTTTAATTAATTGGTTGTAATTTTCTTCCAAATCTCCTTTTCTCAATGATTTCTAGGAGACAAATTCGATTTCTTCTTCTTCCGCCAGTCCTTGGACGTTGCAGTGTCTTTTGAGATGACCTTTAATCCCACAAGAATAACAAGTTTTGTTTCTATGTGGATTTTTAATTGGTTTCTCTGGTTGGTGATAGTACTTGAATAATTGGTTCGGATTTTCAGAGAAGTAATTAAAAATTAAATTAATTAATTGTGAGTCTTTAATTTCTCCTTGGAGAACTCCCTTGTAAACTTGAATGAAAATTTCTCTTTTGATAATTTCAGAATTGTAACTTCTTAATTTAAAATAAAAGAGATAGGGTAACCTCGTAAGGTAAGAATAAAATAAAATGTAATAAGAAATAAATTTTAAAAGAAATAAATAACAATTTAAATAAAGAAATTAAAAATAATCCAAATAAAAAGAAATCTGCAGAATTTTAATTATAGCTTATCTTCCTTGATGTAAATTTCCACACAACTCAGCATCAAGTTCTCACCGATTAAATTTGGGAGAGCGTATTTTAATCGGTGATAACAATTATTTTTGTATTTGCGTGGATCAGGTTATTAACGAATTAATTTTGGTATTAGCGAATAATTTTGGTTAAAGAAGATAAGAAACTTGTTTAAATAAAATATTTATTTTATTTATTTAGTTTTCCTTAGTCGAAACTAATTAACTTGTTACAAAGTTTTCCTTAGTCAAAACTAATTAATTAACTTGTTACAAAGTTTTCCTTAGTCGAAACTAATTAACTTGTTACAAAGTAATTTTTACAGTATGTCTAATTCGAGTTCTTTATATACATGCTAGTTAATTATAAGCCCATATGGGTTTGCGCGCTTGTTTAGGTTCATGAGCCCATATGGGCGCATCGTCACTAATTTCTACTAAATATAGTTAAATAAATATTAACGTGTTACGAATTAATTAATATAAGGGCACGCAAAAAAAAAATTAAAAATGCAACTTTTTTAATTTCCTTTTTTGATAATCAACTTCGACATCAAAAAATTTTTTGTCACATATTAATATACTTAAAAAGAAATGTCTCCGACGACAGAAATGGAGGATACAGGAACAAACATCACAGTTTTAATTGATAATTATGATTCATTTACCTGGAATGTTTACCAATACCTTACAGAACTTGGTGCACAAGTTGAAGTATTTCGTAATGATAAAATCACAATTGATAAAATTGCTGCATTGAATCCCAAAAACTTGGTAATTTCTCCAGGTCCAGGTCAGCCATTAACTGACTCTGGAATATCTTGTGAAGTTATTTCTCATTTTTCTGGTAAAATACCAATTCTTGGTATTTGTATGGGTGAGCAATGCATTTTTGAAGTATTTGGTGGTAAGGTTGATTATGCTGGTGAAATAGTTCATGGTAAAACATCTACTATTGAACATGACAGTGTTGGATTGTTTATAAATGTGCCAAAGGAAATATCTGCTACCAGATATCATTCTTTAGCTGCTCAACCAAGCACAATTCCTGATGAATTGATGTCAACTTGTTGGAGTGATACTAAGGTTTTAATGGGCATAAGACATCGTGAATTCACCATTGAAGGAATTCAATTTCATCCAGAAAGCATTCTTAGTGAACATGGAAAAACCCTGCTTGGAAATTTTTTGAATCTTAAAGGCGGAACATGGGATGAAAACCCAGAGTTTAAGGTTAAACCTCCATTAGCAAAAACCAAAGTTAAAGAAGACTCAGTTTCCAGCATATTAGAAAAAATAGTCCTACAAAGATACAATGATGTTGAAGCAGCCAAAAAACAACCAGGATCATCACCATATGATTTGAAAAGATTATTATCACTTCATATAGCTCCACCTTTAATAGATTTTCCTGCCAGACTTAGTCAAAACCTACCAAAATATCCAGCAATAATGGCAGAAGTTAAAAGAGCCTCACCTAGTAAGGGAAACATTGATCTTACAGTAAATGCAGCAGAACAAGCACTTATTTATGCAAAAGCTGGTGCATCTGTCATTTCTGTATTGACAGAACCAAAGTGGTTTAAAGGATCATTGGATGACATGAGACAAGCCCATGATATTCTATCTAGTATTCCAAACAGACCAGCTGTCCTACGAAAAGATTTTATTATTGATACTTATCAGATAATGGAAGCTAGAATATATGGTGCAGATACTGTGTTATTAATAGTTGCCATATTAGATGATGAAAAATTAGCAAAATTATATAACTTTGCAAAATCTCTTGGGATGGAACCATTGGTAGAAGTTAACAGTGAGGAAGAGATGACAAGGGCAATCAAATTAGGAGCAAAGGTTATTGGGGTAAATAATCGTAACTTGCATACATTTGAAGTTGATCTATCTACAACCTCACGATTGGCCAAAATGGTACATAAAGGTGTAATTTTAGTAGCTTTAAGTGGAATTAATAGCAGGACAGATGTGACTGGATATATAGAACAAGGTATTGATGCTTTATTAATAGGTGAGGCAATGATGAAAGCTCAAGATAAAAAGGCTTTTATTGATGAAATATTAGGAATTGAAAAGGTAGAAACTAAAGCTACTATTACCAAGTTTCCCATCAAACCATTGGTGAAAATATGTGGTATAAATACAATTGATGCAGCAATCACAGCTACAGAATTGGGTGCAGACCTTATAGGATTGATATTTGCCAAAGATTCAAAAAGAAAAGTAACACTTGATCTATCTTTGGAAATAGTTAATGTTATTCGTGAAATGCAATCTGATGATTCTAATAACATTAAAAAGGAAGATGGGGAAAGTGAGGAAAATGTAAATGATTTGGAAAGCTTACCAAGTAATTATGACTGGTTTAGGTCACATGCAGATACAATTTACACATCTAAAAAACCATTAATAGTGGGAGTTTTTCAGGATCAGTCAGTTGAATACATCACAAAAATTGTACAATACTTAAAACTTGATTTAATCCAATTACATGGAAATGAGCCACTTGATATGCCAAAATTCTTACCTAGGCCAGTAATTAAAACATTTCATATTGATGAAAATTTTTGTGCTCCAACACTAATCACACAACCAGGATATAATCAGTATTGTCTTTTAGACACTAAAACAAAAAATAATAAAGATGCTGGTCAAACTCACAAAGGAGGGTCTGGAATAAGTTTTGATTGGAATATAGCATTAAAGATTAAAAACAGTGTTAAAAATTCAAAAACTGGTAAAGTCAATGATGAATTTCCAATAATTTTGGCAGGAGGATTGAATCCTGAAAATGTTAAGGAGGCAATTGAAAAGGTAAAACCTTGGTGTGTTGATGTGTCAAGTGGAGTGGAAACAGATCAACAAAAGGACAATGATAAAATTAAAGAATTTATTCAAAGGGCCAAATCGATCATTTATAAAGATGAGATTATTGAAACAGAAGAGAAAAGTCAAGGTTATGAAAAGCAAAATGGTGAATCAACTGATGAACAGTCAAATGGAAAATTGATCAATGAAGATGAATTTTATGATGATGATGAGTATGAAGAAACTGGCATAGCAAAATAAATAGTACTACATAATATTTATAATGACATAATAGATTATATAGTCTTGATATATAAATATCTATTTAATAATTTATTTATTTAATTGTGTTTTTATTTATTTATTTACTTTATTATATAGGAAATAATAATAATTTTTTTTTTGTTATTTATTTAAATTCATTTTTCATTTCCCTTAATCTTTTCATTATTTCTACTGGATCTTGACCACCAGCAACTTTTTTCATGTCTTCATGTTCAACTCTCATGAAAGGATTAAACTTAAATTCATCATCGATAGTACTAGGCACTGTAATTTTGTTTTGAGTAGCCCATTCATATTTTTCTAAGAGTGTTTTGTTATTGGGATCAATTGATTTTGCAAATCTTAAATTTGAAGTAGTATACTCGTGTCCACAATATACTTTGGTATCAGATGGTAGAGCACCCAAAGTTTTAATTAACGAATTGTACATTTGTTCTGCTGTTCCTTCAAAAAATTTACCACACCCTCCTATAAACAAAGTGTCACCTATAATAAGTAGTATTGGTATTGTTAGATGAAACTTGTAATAAAAGAAAACTATAATAATAAAAATAATTGATAAAATAATTACCAGTAAAAACTGCTTTATCATCACCATCTTGAACATAAAAACTTACACTACCGCTTGTATGACAAGGTGTAAATAATGCTTTGCACTGAATTTTTTCCCCAATTTTAAACTCTTCTTCATTTTTTACAGGATGATTTAGTTCGGGTATACGTTCATCACTACCATATACAGTCAAACCTTTTACCAACTTTACCATTTCTTTATTTCCACCTGAATGATCCTATAAAAAAAAAAAATACCAATGATTTGAATTTTAAATACATTAATTAATTAATATATATAAATAAAAGAAATGTACATGATGATGATGAGTTGTGATCAAATGTTTCAATTTGACTTTATTATCTTCAATAACTGGTAAAATTTTTGATGGTTCAACTGGATCAACTATTGCTCCTTTATTTTTATTTGTAGTCAAGAAAGAGATAATGATTAAATCATGATTAAATGATATATGATATATGATATTTAATTTTAATTGATTAATTGACTTACCTTCATTTGTCTTCTCATCAATAACCAAATAAGAATAGTTATCATCCAATACTAAAAAATAATTTATATCCATCAAACATATATGGTAAAAATGATTTTTATCAAAAAATTTTATTGATATTTACCTGGAATGGGGATTATTTTCATTTTGTTAGAAAAGCTCTTTTTAAAAGATTTTGAAAATCATGTATGGACAGATAAATAATTTGTACATCAATTCCAAAAAAATAAAAATAAAAAAATAAACCTGATGAAAAGATCTTTTATAACAGTGATCATATGTTTTTTTAAATAATACTGCTGACGAAATCAATTTGTTTTTTCTTGACATTTCTTAAATTTCAAATCATGTTCCTTGTAACACACAACAATTTACATGAAAAGAACAAGTCCATCCAATTAATTTTTTATAGTGATGATGAGAAAGGTGTTGATGACGCCTTTTTATCTTCAAAGACAAATTCTCTCTAAAACTATGTGTCCTTCCATTTATTTACAAGATTTTGACTTTTTTCAATTTTATTATACTTTTCTATTACTATATGTTTTATTAGCTAAAGATAACTCTAATTCAATGATAAAATGTACATAATTCAACCTTTTTTTATAAAGAATTATATATCAAGTATTTGATTCAATTATCAACTGAATAGCTTTTTAATCATAAGGAATTAAAGAAAGTTCAAACATACAATAAAGTAATATCTCATCACCTTCCACGAAATATCATTAAAAAATTTTTTTGGGTTGTAAATTTTGTTTTTATTTCATACATTGTTCATTTTTTGTCTCAATCATGTACCTTAAATTTGTTGTGTTTACAATCATTTCATTGACATTCATTATATTAAGGTTATTTTGATTATATCGAGAGATATGGTCAAGAGAAGAGTTAGGAAGAGAGTTATTCTTCAACCAAGTCGAAAACCAACCCTTTAAATACATTTTCGAGTAGTACAATTTAATTTATTAGACTATTTCAAAGGTTTGTCGCATGGTTGCTTCCAACTTCTTAAATTCGAACCATTTGTTAAGGAAACAACTGTTAGTGAAGTGATTGTTGACAACATGAATCAAACCAACATTTATTTTTACGTTATCAAATTCGTGCCTGTTCTTATTCCTCCACTCAAACAAATAATTGTTCACAACACAACGAACGCTATTTGGAATGTAATTGTTTTTTATGTGTCAATTCTTAGTAAACGTTCTGGTCTTGGGGCAGTTCTTGTTTATATATGAAATAGATTTATTCAAAATATCGTAAAAAATCACGTGTGCGTGAGCAATTGTTCACGCCGATCACTTTTGCAAGAAAAAATTTCCCGACTCCACGAATACCATTTCTTCCGAAATAAGAGTTGTGTATTGCTGTTGTATAAGAACGATCTTTTGGAGAAAGTGCACTCCATGCATTAAGCTTTTTTTTGACGTCAATCCAGGAAGAGAGATGGTAAAGATATTCCGGTGGTATTAAATCTGTTTCATATTCACAAAAACGTCTGCATTCTAAGCATTGTGCAAGGCAAATTGCCATATGATTTCATTCCAAATTTCATCACAATCTTCCGGTAGACAATTACTAGGACAGGTAAGATTATTAAGAGACTGGTTATTCATACAACAAGACGAACAATATATATAGTATAAGCAAGCTTTCATGTTTATCGGTAATATACTAATAATAATCATCTTCAAATTAACTTCCTGAAGCCTCAAGATTCAAAAAATCGTCTCTTCGAGCCTACTCCCGCAATAATTTCTAAATTCGCTCTACTAGGAATTGATTTTTATATAAGATTGCCCATTAAAAAACGTCTAATTAATGATATTTAGATTAGTATACTTGTGGGAAAATCATCCGAGATCGTCCATAGATCCCATTCATAACTATCCATATCAGGTGAATATAAAAGGGGGAACTTATTTATTACTTGTTTTCTCAACATGCCAAAAGGAATCTATTCGTACATTTTTGTCATTTCCCGCAGTGATTATCAATGTCTTGGCGAGTTCTGTAGAAGATATAAAATTGGGATGTTGCTTTTAAACAAAAATAAGTAATGGAATTAGAAAACACTCCTATTATGAGGGAAACAGGAGATAAGAAAGTATACCTTTTTATTGACAATTCCAACCTTTTTATCGAAGGGAAATATTCTGTTGGACATCATGAAAGTTAGGCACTATCGATAAAAAAAGAGGAACTCATTACTATGATCTAATTCGCATCGAACATGGACAGCTTCTCAAAATAGTTCAAAATGGGCGTCCGCTGGGTGCCGAACCCTTTCTAGTCGGTTCAAAACCCCCTAGTGAAGATTCGATGTGGAAATATATTCGGGGATTAGGATTTGATGTCACTGTATACAAGCGAAACTCTCAAGACCGTGAGAAAAAAGTCGATGTTACACTTGCTTGTGCTATGCAAAAAACAATTGACAAAAATACTCCAGGTGTACTAGTATTAATAGCAGGCGATGGCGATTATGAATTCCCCATAATAGATGCTATAAAAAATAATTGGATTGTTGAAGTATGGTTCTGGAAATCAGGCGAAAATACAAATTTTACGAAACTTTTTTATCTACCTGCACTAAAATCCTTTTTACCATCTCAACTGAAATATACACAAAATAATTTATTTCCAATAGCTACGTCCAATGATTTTCAGAAGAAAGATTTTCGTCAGCTGGATTGTCACTATAAAATTTTTACATATGGGGATGAACATACTCCCAATGAGAAAGTGTATACTCTTGAGCTTATCAACGAGAAACTTGAAAAGTGGACAAACATAGAGGCAATGCAATGTTTTATTAAATTCGGCTTGTTTTCTAGATTAAAATGGATAAATAGTACGACTTTGTATTTACATTTCAAAGAACGGGAGCATATGGATAAAGCTAAGCAATGGATAAAGGAGCACTATGAACTAGAAGCGAACGAAATAATTTAGTTTTATATTATCAAATGTATTTGTATAAGATGCATGATGCAATAAATTTCGCAAATTTTATTTGATAAAAATTAAAGTGTTACAAATTGTGAATGAAACATAGCTCTGATACCAAAGTCGGAAGAAATTTGGCAGAACCCGGCTGTAATTTTTTTATTTAGGGATGGAAGTCGACACTACCATTTGCCATTTCGTTCAAAGTAAGTAAGCGGGTAAGTAATTTCGATAATTTTGCGTAGACATAAAAAATCTCGAACATATGTGGATGTGATTCCGTTTCTTATTTTGAATAAATAGCATGAAATTTCATCACAGAAAAGTAATTAATTACATCAAAATTACTATGAATGTTGTTGTTGGCAATGTTTTTTATTTCATAACAATAAAGCTGGGTGTTGACAAATATTAAAAAAATCCATTTACATGCTCAAATAGATATTCTCATTAGGCATATTTCCTGACTAATATGAAGTAAAGACATGATTATGTCCGCAATATAAGTCTTTCACTTTATTCATTGCAAGCAGTATTATCTTCCATATCTTGGATCAAGCCATCTAAAATAATTTAGCGCCAAATAATGAGTGCAAAACATCCTAATTTAATATCGTGTATTATTGTGCAATCACCAGATCTTCTTTTTTACAAATAAATAAAAAGCATGTATTGTTGTTGTATAAAAACGATTAAGCTTATTTATTATGGAACAATGGCACTTACGTGCCTGACATCAATTCAGGGCCTACCTATCAGAGAAATTATGCAAATATTATGATCGGAAAAACGTCTAATTAATTAGTGTGCTTGTTATGTTATTATTATCGCAAAGAACATATTGACGAAAAAGTTGACGAAAAAAAAAATTTTGACAAAAAAAAAAAGATAGTGAGAGAGAAAAGTATAACCATTTCACAAAGAAAATTTTTGTAATAATCTGCAATAATAATTTTTATTTAACTTGATTTACATTTAAAATATTATTTTAAGAGAAAATTTAATGGATTTTTAATTGTTTACTCTTTTGCCGAGTCAATTTTGGATAAGCTACGTAAATTGTGCTTCTTCTAGTTTGCATTTTTTCTAACTAATTTTTGAGAATTATTATCATCATCTTCATTTGTATTATTTCCAGAATTGTTATCAATGTCAATATCATAACATTCTTGTCCTAAATAATATTTCTATCGGTTTCATTAACTTCGCAATAATAACTATTTTCTGAATTATCTTCACTTTCAAATTCATCTTCAACAAAGATATCTTTTACTAAATCTTTTGGATCATAATTATTATCAGAAAATTCGCAAGTTGATTCATCTTGATAAGTTTTGACTATCGTGTGGCATTCTAATGAAGAAATTTTTCTTTACAATATCTCCTTTTTGCCATATTTCCTCATTTTCTTCTTTTCGTCACATTTCGTCAATTTACCACATTTTACCATTTCGCCAAATGTGACGAAATTAACAATGATTTGACGAAATAATTTCCCGCCTACAAAAACATTTCGTCAGGTATCATTATGGTTAATTATAAATAGCGTCGTCAAAACTGTTTTGAAGAAGCAAAAGTTAAAACTAAAATTAAATGTTATATGTCAAAATTAAATCAAAAATCAAGTCGAAAGTCAAACTAGTTTTGACATATGGCAAAACCTTTTGAGTCGTAAAACTCTATAGTTTTGAAACCAACACTATTGTAACAAGAAATAAATAGTGACCTTTTACTATAATAAGTTTTTTATTATTTTGAAAGAACAGAATTACAAAATAAATAAATTGAATGATTTAATAATCAATAATTAATATTACTGTTGGTGATGTTCTAGTAGTTGTTGCTGTTATTTAATAACAATTGATCCACAATGTTTTGAAGCTGTATTGCTATAAAAATTAGCTGATCTTGTGTGTAATTATTAGTTTGCGCGCCCAAATTGTTATTGCTATTATTGACTGAATTTTGTCCATAGAAATTATTGTCAAAAGTGTTATGAAGAGTATTATGATTATGACCAACAAAACGATTATTGATAATACCCAAATGGTTAGCCAAATCACCACTGGCGATATTGTTACTGGTTGGATTTTGACGAGCATTGTTCATATTATTGATTGAATTGTCAACGGTGTTATAAAGAGTATTATGATCAACAAAGCTATTATTGATAATGCCAGAATGATTATCCAAATTATGATTGGCGGGATTTTGACGAGCGTTGTTCGTATTATTGATTGAATTATAACCAGCAATATTATTATTGTTGACAGAAAAATTATGGTTGGAAACGTTCATAGGATTAACTGTATCAGAAGGATGAACATAACCGTTAATTTGGTTAATTTGGTTGCCAAAATGATCATGATTATTATTCATAATTTGTTTTAGTTTTTATTAATCAATTAAATATTTGGATTTTTTTTTTGCACTGATTTTTTTTCTCTATATTTATAACACTGTAATAAAAACCGTGAATGTCTAATTGAAGATCTGTTAAAACCACATTTAGATAAATATTTATAAAATATTTATTTCAATTTTACTTAATTCGGTCGGGTTATAGTACATAAAAAAAACAATAGCAATAAATGATAATTATGGAACGCAATAAAGATTAGCATTCATTGACTTCAAAAGTAAGCCATTTAAAAACTAAATTGATGAATGACAAGGATAAAAAAGGATGAACGGAAAAAGTACAAAAACGCAACGGACCTATTAATTAGATCGTTATTTTAATTAACTCGGATGTTTCAAGAATTTACGTGTATTCGGTGTCTTTTAAATATTATTTTAGCCATCGTAAACTAAAATTAAAATTTGCAAATCGTAACTATAACGTTAAATGACTTATGTTACATCAAAAATTCATTGGTGTTTGCAACAAAGTTTTTTGAAGGAATAAGTCATAGAAAAGAGGTTGGCTGGTTGTTTACTCTTGTCTCATAATAAAATATTTGAGACGATAAAAATAGAAATTATTCTAATAATGCAAATGAGGTTATTACTATTATTGAAGATCAGCAACAAGGTTGTAGTACATACAGTGTGGAACATTCAATTCCGGAATTGAATGTTCCACACTGTACATAAAAAAAAAAAATTCAATAAAATAACCTATTAAGAAATTTAACGAATTATTAAACGTAATAAAGATTAGCTTTATTGACATTAAAAAATAAACCATTTAAAAAAGAAATTGATGAATGACAAAGATGAAAAGAATGAGAGTAGATCTAATTAATTCGAATGTTTCTTAATCTATAAAGAATGTTACATGTTTTAAATATTATTATCTCTGTTGTAAATTAAAATTAAAATTTGCAAATCGTAACTATAAGGTAAAAAAATTTTCTTTAGAATGAAGTTATGTTATATCAAAAAATTTCATTGGTATTGAAAGCAATGCTTTTTGAAGGAGCAATTCATAGAAAAATAGAGATTATTCTAATAATGAAAATAAGTCTATTACTATGACTATATGTGATCTCTTACGGATTCTTCAGAAAATAATATCTTAGAAAAAGAAAAGAAAACAGATGGATAGACAGAGATGTACGTGTAACAGGAATAATAATGGTTCACGTATAGATATTCCAGTGCGCACGTAATTTTTGGGAATCATGCGCATGTAATTTTTTTTGTACATAGTAATATATTTTTTTCAAAAATAACCGGAGTTCTTTTATTTATAATTGGCAACATTATAGAAAATTTGGAGGTATGTAATTTTATATGTTTAATCTCCAAAACTTAAGCTACAAGAGGATCCCGCAAACTATATAGACAGGTTACATACAAAAAATCACGGTTTGATATAGGGTTTGACCCACGCTGTGATTGGCTTTATTGGAGACAATTTTTCCAAATTTGGTAACACGTGTTCCAAACTTGGTAATTTTTCATCAGCATTGCATTTCTAATATATAGTAAAATTTTAGGTCTTTTACTATAAGATTTGACCCAACTGTGGCAATAACCTTTCTATATAGTTTGCGGGGTCCTGCTACAAGCTGATATAATTTTTGTATAATTATTTATGTACATTATTGCGTTAGAATAATTATTAAAAAATTCTGTGTCAAAACTTTAAGTCAAAATTTTTATGAGGTTCAAAAAAAAAGGAATGTGAATTAACTTTACAAAAAATTGACAATATTATTTCATATCAAATTTTTTTTAACTGAAAAAATAATTCACAAACTTTCAAAAGAATCTATACTTATTTAATTACGTTTTGTAATTGTTGAGAATGCAACCTTTTGTCACCGTCATTATCTATATTGTTTTATAACGTGTGGCTCAGAGAGATCACATAGGGGGTAATAATATAGTGAAGATCTTCGAATCAAGTACTTGTTAAAATGGTTAATTGATTTTTATTTTATCAAAACATGCGTGTTTATACTGGTTCTCTCTTTTGACAAGAAATGTGTCCTTCTTTACAGAGAAGGAACCAGTTTGGTGACTTTCCGACTACTTCAACAACATGGACTCGATGTGGCCTATGCATAGCAATAGATAAAAGACTAGAGAAGGATGAAAATCAAATTGTAGATGAGTCAAGAGTATGAAACTCTAAAGGAAGAAACCAGGAAAGTGAACAAATCAATGGCCGAAATGAACAACGAATCAATGGCCAAAATGAACAAATCAATGACTGAAATGAGTGAAAGAATCAATAAAATTGAAAAATCAAGATATATTGATGAAATTGTGTGTGAAAAAGAGATAGACCACAATAATAATTTTGTTGAATTTAACTTCAGTTTTAGAAAGGACTATTGTGCTGTCATTAACAGTATATTCACTATTACAATATATATATATCTATATAGCAAAAATTTAAAAATAAAAAAAAAATGATAGCTTAACCATATTCTCAATATAAATATATATCCATATCAATATCAATCCATAAATATTGTTTTTAATAAATAATTTATTTTTATTTCTATTTAAAAATCATTTATCAGCTCTTTATTAATGTATTATAAAATTTCTGCAATGAAGCTCACTAGTAACGACAATATCATACAAAGTAAATATGAACAATCATAATAATAAGGGTTTAAATGATTGTTTATAATAATGATATCACATATATCACTGTTGACAGCGAAATGATATATATTTTGTAAAAAAGAAAATACATTCTAAATAAACATATAGACCAATTTCAACACTACTGAATTCGTGGGTGCAAGTAATTATTGGATTAATAATTAATCTCTGCTCATAATTACTAACTGATAATAATTATTAATTAATTGGGACGTCTGAGTTGCTTCTCACCAATTATTTAGATAAGAGAAACAAAAAAAAGAATTACCTCTCTTCGTCAGTTCAACCTTGACCGTATTTTTGATTATTGCCATTATGATGATGCTTTTTTGATTTTCTTACGAAATATTAATTTGTTATAGTTGGAATAAATGTAATAATAACAACATATTCATGTTAATAAAAGTTCTTGGTAAATAAATTTAAATAAAACGAATAAAAAAACCAGAATAAATAAAAAATCAAATAATTCGAATAAAACGAATAGAACGAGTAAAACGAATTAATTGGGTTGTATTACGAATAGCAATAGGATTTAAAATAAGGTTTTGTGGACCGTATCAATAATTAACACAAAAAACCATTTTATTGAACTAATTTGTTGACTTGCGGAGAAATATGAACACAATCGATAAAGGGATTTTTCGTTCGATTATACTCGCAATTCTTTGAAAAGAATTGATTATCCTTAAAATTTACCCCTAAAAAATAATCCCGCAAATAATGATGTCAACGTAAATAAATAATAAGGAATATGAATAAGGAACACAGACGTATATATTCATTATTTATTATAAACAAACAAACAAAAAACACTGAAATTCGTGCGTGGGAAATTCCAAACTAAATAATCATGTATAAATTATGACCATATTTTTCTCTCAATTTGAGAGAAAAATATGAAAAAGAAAATAAAAAAATTAATATTTATAAATACAAAATTTCCGTTTTCGCTCATTTTAACCAATAAATCATGGTATAATATATCACAAGATACCAAAACAAGAGCAAGTTGGATTATTAAGAACCACGGGAAAGCAAATTCGTTTTTTTATGCAATTCGCTACAGTAATAACTTTATATCATTAGAACTAGTTGATCTCTTGATAAGAGAACATGTGGTTTTGTCTAGATATCTCGTGCAGCGATTATTATTACAATTCGAAAAAAGTTATGATAGTTTAATTAAACTAAAAATACAAAATGACATCAACTTCAACAACAACAATGATAATAATGATATGGATCTAAGAATATCTAAAGCTTCTCAAAAATATTATATATAGAAATCCTTGGGCCTCAAATATTCCAGTAGCGGTATTTGTAGCTTTGTTAAAAGAAGCCAAATTACAATATGGTGATGACATTGAAGCATTTCATTTTTTAACAGGGGGTTCCCTATCTATAGACTTGGCTCCAAAAAGGTTGATGGAAAACCTGGAAAAGATAAAGGACCTTATTAAATAAAAAGTTTATACCTTTCCCCCCAAGACCAATGATCCAATTTGAAGATTCAATTGATTACCAAATAGAAATGCAAATACTTAATCGTAAAGAGTATCCAGCCAAGGATGGATTTGAAAACAATAAGCAATTGAATATAATTGCAAGAGCAATATTAATTTATCCTGAGATAATAGAATTCTGGAAACAAATTGGTTACTATGATATATGTAAAGATGTCAATAATTTGGTTTTACAGGGCTCTTTGTTAATTTAAACAACAACAACAACAACAATAATAATAAAATAAAAATATTGATTATTCTGCCCAAATTATAAAAATGAAGAAGCTTGTGATTATCCAACTACAATGGATTTTGTAAAACGTATACAACAATTAGTAAAAGTTGGGTTCAAATTGACATGACTGATATTCTAATTTTGTATGAACAACATATTGATAAAATTGGAATGACACTTTTAGAAGCTTTTCAAATTGTTAGGAATCAATCAAAATCTGATATTGTTGAATGTTGTGTTGTAGAAGCCATTAAAGTCAACAGAAATTTGAAAAAACCTCAAGTTTTAGATTTTCTAAGAATGCAAATTGAAGATAATTGTTTAGAACTTGTATTTCTTAAAGCACTAGTTTATCATTATTTTGATAATAATACCAGGAAAAAATTAATTGATTTTCAAATTTTTGATAAAAATAGATCTTCTGCCTACAACACTGACAGTTTAATTAGCAGCAATAATATAAGTAATATCAATATTATAGATAACATAAATGAAGAGTCTATTAATTATTATTATAAATATAATTATTATTATGACTATGGTTATAACTATTATCCACACAATATCAA